TCATGGTGCTTGAAGCAAACGTTACCGGATTCGAGTCTCAGAGTGAACATCAACTCTGAGATGCAGGTAAATCCATGTGACGAACCCCAAATAGGACGAAACGCGCTTTCTGGATTCCACTGCTAATCACTATCCATTTTTGCTTATCTCATAGTTTGTTAAGATGAATTCTTGCATTAGTAAAGGTAAAGGTTAATTGTAGAAAAGCAACTTTTCTCTTGACTGGATTTTCGTTAACTAGACCACTGATCAAAAGTTTTTAAACTACTGTCCCACATAAATGCTTTCAATAAAACTCATTTTATCATATACAATTTTTTTCGGAAAGGTTCATTGTTATAATAATGATAGTAATGATAAAGAACGCTGATGTATTTTAAGCATAGTGCTTAATAAGTATCATGTTATGAAATTGCCTGTAAGTCGTACAGTAACAATAAAGCAAACTTTTTCAGATGACCAATAATATATGTCAGTTTTAGGTGGTTTTCTCTTGAATTCCCACCTTAGTTTTCAACCGTAACTATTCATTATTATACGCTATGAGAAACTGGTGAGATATTTTAATCCTTACTAAACATTTAGTATGATTTTTGATGCTCCATTCGAATGATGAATATTTGAACAGAATGTTACGAAACAAATCATGCGTAAATAACCACAACAGGAGTTTTATGTAATTATGCTAAATGCTTGACGAACACCAAAAAGAATTCGATATAGTTTATATTATATGAAATTTCTTCAATGTATTTATGGTAGTTATGACAATTTAACAATAATCTTTTCTCAACTTTGAACTAATAGCAAAATTATTAGTATCCAGTTACAAATAAACTATGGGATTATATGAGAGTATTATGAATGAATTACTCATATTTTATACTTTCAATGCGATCTTAATCATACAGATTAGGGACTTATCTCAATTACTGATGAACGTTATTTCTAGATTTTTGTAGGCTATTAGTATTAAAGTAGGTTTTCGTGTGCATATAGCAAGTAATGTTTTATTAAATATGTGTTGTGCATATGAAGTAATAAACTAGTTGATTGTACTTAAGTAAGTGAGATTATAAATTTCATGACTAGCCGATATTTATTCGAAAACATAAACTGTTACTGCCGTTATAGGAATATAGAGCCTTTACATGAAAGGCGATCGATTTCCAGTGTTGTGATGAATTAAAGCACCTCAAATTATTTTACAGGGAAGTTTCTACCACATGCATTCCTTATATACTTTACTATGAATTTACCAATCGTAGAACTTCTAATATCAGTGTTTGTATCAATTAAAGCTTACATTTATCATTAAAGTTTATGATTTGATTTCAGATGTTTACGGTTATACCACGATTTTAGTGAACATAATGTCTCATCTTCTTTTATCTGTTCACTGCAGTATACGGTTAACAACCAATATACGTCAAAGCAGCCCATCAATCTCTTTAATCTGCACAAAAAGCGTAACTGTTCTGTATCATTTTAGTGAGACATTCTTGATTACTTATTTTTTTCAAGACAATAATCATAAATGACAAAGTAAAATGTGATGATTCTTTTATATCGGTCAGTGTTACCCTGAATCTTCTTATCTTCACTAACATTATATGTGAGAGGATGATTTCTCCCATTTGATGCGTTAAATTTTCATGAAGATTTCATAAAGCAAGAATACTCTGGTTAATCGAAATTTTATCAGGTTGTATCTTTCTTCGTTGCATTTGGATTTTCCTCAATTCTAGACAATAAATTCATTTCATCCGTTAAGTTTGTGTAATAAGCTTTGTGGAAGTTGGAAAAGTATCTTAAATACATTATGTATATAAAGTTTTAATTACTTGCTTCACATAAACGTCTACAATAACGTAAGGTGTAAGACAGATAAAAGGAATTTTGTTCAACAAATAAAATCAATTTCCAATACTCGATTTTTTATTTATTTTAAACAACCTTGTTGATTTTCTAAAATTCTACATTATTGATGAACTTTCAATTGTTTGGAATTGGCCATTATTAATTTGATGTTTTTCTATTTTAAGATCATTTAAACGTTCACAGATAAATATTTAACCTCAAAAGTCCCACTAATTTACTTCTTGTAATTTTGTTGCTTATTAAATTGCTTTGAAGATGGAATTTTTGTTTGTTGCACGGGTATAGCCATAAAATCATTTATGGAATGTTTTTATTCGGCAAAATATAGTATTGTTTATATGGAATTTACTCAAACAATATCAATAAACATCCATTTAATGGTTTGTCAGAACAATCACTTTGTATTACGAGTTTCTTACAGGACCGTAACCACCGTTATAGTTATAACGACACTGACAGTAACAACAAAACGCAAGATGAGTCATAAAAAACCTGATATTTTAAATAGCAAAATGTTCAATAATGACCATAAATACGTGGTTAATAAACATAGATTTCGTTAACTCAATGAGAAGACAAAGTTTATCAGAATCATATGATACATTTGAGTTATCAATTTACCTGTATTTGCGGAAACACGTACATAGAGAGGAGCAGTCGCGATCTGCAATTAATAATGGCGGAACACATACCCGAATGGCCTAAGAAACAAATAAACTTCAATGATCAAATAAGATTGCAGGACAGATAGTCATCTTCCTCCATTGCGAAACATTTGGTTGAGACTGGTCATAAGGTTGACATCAAGTCAGCATTTGTACAAAGGCCTTCAAGGACGTATACTAAGGTTTATTGAAGCCTTGGCCATACGAAAACTGAAGCCCATTTTGTGTGTTCAAGAACAATTTGTTCTAACCCTTAACCTACCGAGTAATACTGATTTATGTGGTTATCACATTGTTTTTGTGTACTTTATTTATTTTCTTTCTTTGTTACCGCTTACCTTTAACCTGTCTAGTTGACCTTCTAATTTTCATATAAAAGTGTCTTGTCAAGTATATGTTTGATCACATTGTTCGAAATGTATTGCGCAAATATATCACATAATTCTCATAAACTTCGTCTTCTCATTGCATTATCGAAATTTATCAAGGGGACTAATTGCTTGAAACATAGATTTACCAACAAGAGATATAGATTTAGACGTAATGACCTTTTAGTGGTTTTGCTTTGCTGATTGTTTACCATGATAACCGTTATAATATAAATCCCAACGGTGTTGGAAATCAGAAGGGAATAAGAAGCAACAACTACAGTTTATTAGCGGATAGCGCAGACCTTAAAGTCATAAGCACATCGAATGAATTTGGCGCAGAGAGATGAATAAGTATATGCGAGCAATCATTTAGGTAAATCTTTAGTCAAGTTGCAAAATGGAGCAGCAAGACAAAGTGAAAGCCAATAATAGGATTTGAATACATATATATATATGGGGAGGAAGACGAATCATCGAGTGATATTTAAATAATCAACATTTTAGCTAGAGTCGGTCATGTGCTTTAGTGATCATAAGAGTACATAAAAATATACCACTTGTAACTGTTCCAATAACATTGTCTGTTAAGTAAGTTAAGTTAAAAAGTTAAAAAGGCTTAACCAAAATTAACCATAGTCGAAATTGGTTGTTGGATAGTTGCTATAAATTATCCTCAAGCATGAAGATGATAACTCGAGAGGAATTAACTCCGATTAGTCCACATGTCAGCATCAAAATTATTTGATGTATTCATGAGCTATTGTTTTTCTTGCCAGTCTGCTAATAGTCCAAATCATCATGGGTTTCAAGTTGGAAAATTTGTAGTATCACATTTTTTGGTATCACAAAGCAGATTATTTATAAAGCCTAATGCTCGCCCATTACGTTTAAATAACTGAAAACAATTCACAAAGATTTTCACTATTCCATATCTTTAAAAAAGGACATCTTTTTACACACCGTCTGCTGTTGAGACATTATAAAATCAGAGATTTTAAAGTATTTTGTTTTGACTCAAAAATGTTGTCTACCGAATGCATGACAATGTTCCTAATTTGCATAAAAGCTTACTCCAATAGATTTTACAGTTCGTCAAACCAGATGATTTCACAATAAGTATTCCATTTGATTTCTACCTTTGAAACAAGCTCGGTGATTTCTTTATTTCCAAATTACGAAGACCATTGATGATAACAGTTACTCACCGAAGAAAACAGAAAATGGTCAGTGACATAATAGATAGGTTGAAGCTTGACATTAAAACCGTTGTATGCCAGCTCAATGGTCTGAAGTTTAGGCGTTCGCAAGAGAGATTGAAGGTTTTAGGTTTGAATCCCACCTGTGAGGTCGCAAATAATCATTGCTAAGGAGTCATATGCTAGGAAGAAATGGCCGTCCAGTTCTTCCACGTTTTCAATGTTAGATTAACGTTGATCTGTTTATGATTTCAGTGAAATTGAATAATATTTCGCTGAATACTCTGAAAATTAGTGAAGTGTGGAAAATAATGTGCTTTATCCAATAGTAGGTTCATATTAATTTATGAGAATAAATTATAACCAATTTGGGAAATGTAGGGTTAAACATCTGCTACATGTGCTTTCAGCCTTCATCTTTGTCTTAAATGAGTATCGTAACCACGATATCATCTATTTGTCACGTATTTGGTGAGAAATAGTTTGACTGAAAGGTAGTTTTCGAAATGAGTTCATATTAATTTGCACTGATTTGCCATTTAACACAGATAAGGAAGTCTCTATCATGATCACTGATAATCTGAAAGTGAAACCTGAAGGTTACGAGATGATCACATAATCACTGTACCATAATATCGGTTACAGTGATCTAAAGACAAAATCCAATCAATACGGGATCAACATACCAAACCTTCAAATATTTATTATCGATATAATGATTGACAGCTGACATTTACAAGACAAGACGAAAACTAAGTCCATAAATTTGAAATCTCACACTAGTGAGACAAAGATCATATATTATTGCTCATGGTTTTCGAAAAAACTAAATTCACATCCAATCATGTCTAACTATTAACTTTGCATTTTTCTTCTATGTTCAACAGGTTTTATTGGGATTTACTAATGCTCATGTTACTGATTGCAAATTTAATTATTTTGCCGGTAGCCATATCATTTTTCAACGATGATCTCAGTATACATTGGATTATATTTAATTCTATATCTGATGTTGTATTTATTGCCGATATAGCTGTAAAATTTCGAACTGGTAAGTTCATTGTCTAGGAGTTTAACTGGTTTGTTTTGCTTAGATCTATTAACGTTCATTAGATAATAGTTTAAAAGCACTTATCTATATTCTTAGAGAAAAGTAAGATTTAGATTTCGAATGTATCACAAGAATGTATAACAACATACATTGAATATATGTTATGTTAGTTAACTAACAAACGAAGTGTCAGAACTTTGTAGAAATGCTAGATAACAAACTAATTCAAAGAAAATATAATATCGTCATTATCAACTGTTAACTTCTTGACCATTCAACTATTTCAAGCCTTTCTTTAGTAGTCACTACATTTAGAATTTTCGCTTCTACCTTTGTTCAAATTTCATCGAACTTACCTATTAACGATACATTTAATAAAATTTATTTGTCAAAAAGAGGATTTGTGGAGATCGCAGTAATTTTAATACTTGGGTTCATGAGTCGACCTCAGACAGACCATTATTGAAAACATGGAAACACTGGACGGTCGTTTCATCCTAGTACGTAACTCCTCAGCAGTGCACACCTACGATCCTTTACTCAAAACTCAAACCCCGAACCATTAGTCTCTCGCGCGAACGCTTAACCTTTAGACCACTTGAAGAAACGGCTGTCCAGTGCTTCCCGGTTCTCAATGGTGGTCTAGCCTAGATCGATTCATGAATTCAACAATTTATTTACTCAAAGAAACTGAAACCAGATTCCCTATCAACAACTTTTAATTACATTAGTTTAAATTAACAAAATTTTCCAAAATACAACGCAATGTATCAGGTAAAATTGTTTATTCTCTCTATTGACTTTGTACGATATTAAAAATATGTAATTAATACCGAATTGTACAAAACAACTACCAACTGAACATATTAATACCGATGATGAAGTAACTGATTAATTCAACTAAATGATTGAGATTAAATTATAACTACGTTTATCTGAACATCTCCAAAGTACAACAAAAGTTGATAACCAACCGCTATGTCGCCCTTTATTTATTATCTGATTTTAACAAAATATGGCATATACATTGATACATAATAAGTTTTAAACAAACAATATTTTATTATATAGGAATAATATATATTTGTAAAATATCAGCTAATGAATTTGTAGTATATCCAAGGAATAATTCCTTGAAAAAGCTTGGACCAGATTGCCAGGCGAAACGTTGGATTTACTACAAATTCATTCGCTGAGATTTTACAAATATATATTATTCCTATATAATGTCTTACATCAACTCGGCGCTCAAATAATGTGAAACTATTCGCTCTAATTTAGACGAGAGTTCTTATAAACAATATTTTATCTATAAATAAGTCAAGTCTATACTTTTTGATGTTGGTTTGTTCTCTGAGCTGGGTGGTTTGGTCGTGGAGCTTTCATCGTCCTTCTGAACGACATCATCAGCACAAACTTCGGGTAGAAGTGAAGTGTTTGAATTTCTCCAAAACAAAGAAATAAACAATGACAGATTTAAGGTCAATAAGAACCAATCAACATCGAGGTGCAGAGGACAAGCTGTGAATCACATGTGGAGAAATTCAAACACTTCACTTCTACCCGAAGTTTGTGCTGATGATGTCGTTCAGAAGGACGATGAAAGCTCCACGACCAAACCACCCAGCTCAGAGAACAAACCAACATCAAAATCACCCACCTGAGCTACAAATCTTCTCCACCATCTCAAAATCATACGAGCGTAATACGCTTCTCGTTGTTCGAAAATGGGAGAATTTCGCCAAAAGGCAAGCTTCCACTCGAGAACAACTATATTTTCTCCACGAGTGCATTCGCCAGCATGTCCTGCCAACAAGTGTAAGATACAGACCTCCAATCAACTGCCCATTAGGATGGAAAATAGCTGAGCAAAGTGGAAGAAAAATGGTTTATCTAATGATAACGGACGCACATTACAGGATACGCAAATACCAACATATCATAGAGGACCAAAAGAGGAAGCTACAACAGGCACTCACACCAGAACACTTCGAAACCCTGACAACAGCCATCGAAACATTATGCAAACGACACAGGGAAAAAAGAAGAAGCATCCTTAAAAAGAAAATAATCAAAATCTCAAATCCAACTATAGAAGAAAACACAAAAAACAGCGTGGTCAACCTATCAAAACAACCACTAACAAACACAGAAGAACAGCTACTCCTAAAAGGATTAAATTACAATACAAGTGATGCCTCAAAACTGGAATTCTACGCAGCACTGGAGTCATCACTCAAAACTTCCGGAATAAGTGAGGAAACGCAACAGGAAATAAGACAATCTATAGTACCACTAACTCAACGGATGAAGGGCAACAACCAACTGACGTCACAAGAACAAACAGCTTTGAAGAAACTCAGAACCAGAAAAGATATTGTCATCGTTCCAGCAGACAAAGGACGCACCACGGTGATTATGGACAAAGAAGAATACATCAAGAAAGCCGAGGAAATACTCGAGGACAAAAATACATACAAACCGATGGACATAAATCCAGTCAAAAAACTAGACAATCGCATTGTAAAAACTTTAAACAAACTCGTCAAAGCAGGAGAAATAACGAAGCAAGATCAATGGAGAATGAAATCTAATGGACCAGTACTCCCTCGGTTCTACGGCAGACCAAAGATACACAAACCAAACATTCCACTACGTCCAATTGTAGCACTACCAGGAACACCAACGTACAATTTATCAAGAGAAATCTCAAGAATACTAAAACATTTAGTAGATTCGTCGAACCACTCCATCAAATCAGCCACACAATTCCTTGATCAGATTAGGAACATTCAAATCAACGACGACGAACTAATGATATCCTTCGATGTAACAGCACTATTCACTTCCATTGAACCAAACTTAGCAAAAGAAACCCTGTCCTTGCTTCTAACCAACGACGAAAACCTCGCAAAATACACGAAACTTCAACGTCAAAGCCTACTTGAACTCATAGATCTATGTCTAACAACATATTTCCAATTCAATAACAAAATCTACAAACAAACAAAAGGGACACCAATGGGATCACCAATATCAGGACTCATCGCGGAAGCAGTAATGCAACGACTAGAAACCATAATTCTACCAGTGATCAAACCGAAAATTTGGATTCGTTATGTAGATGACACATTCGTCATCATCAAAAAGGAGGAACTAGAAAACACCTACAAGCAGATCAACAACGTCTTCAACGACATCAAGTTCACAATGGAACAAGAGTCGGACAACAAGTTACCATTCTTAGACGTATTAATCACCAGAACTGACACAGGAAAACTAGAGACTCAAGTGCACAGGAAACCGACCCACACCGATCAAATTCTCAACTACAATAGCAACAACCCAAGAACTCACAAAATCAACTGTGTACAAACTTTGTTTAAGAGGGCGAGAACACACTGCAATACAATCGCAGCACGAAAAAATGAAGAAAAACACCTGAAAACCATTCTTCAAAAGAACGGCTATCCAATCAATTTCATCAAAAAATACCAGTCGCACACACCATCAGAAACGAAGTCAGGTATGAAAATCAACAAAATGATCACCCTACCATACATAAAGGGCATATCGGAAACGACAACAAGGCTGCTGAAAACCTTCGGAATAGGTGTAGCCCACAAACCAACAAAGTCCCTCCACTCAATCTTATGCAAACCAAAAGATGAAATAGCAAAAGAGGACAAAACAAACATCATCTACAAGATAAATTGTACCAACTGCAACAAACACTATATTGGACAAAGCGGACGGCCCCTGCACCTTCGCCTACATGAACACCAATTAGCAGTCAAACGTCACGACATTTCTTCACTCATATCAATACACGTGGACAACTACGGACATACATTCGACTGGGAAAACGTGCAGATTTTGGACAGAGGTAATTCCAAAAATACCAGAGAATTTTTAGAAGCTTGGCACTCAGGTCAATCAGCAATAAACAAACATATTGAAATCAATCCAATCTATCAACCAATCAAGAAAATTATGCAAGAAGATAGGAACAAAAATCAAACCAATAGGAGATACAACCAAAACAAAGAAATAAACAATGACAGATTTAAGGTCAATAAGAACCAATCAACATCGAGGTGCAGAGGACAAGCTGTGAATCACATGTGGAGAAATTCAAACACTTCACTTCTACCCGAAGTTTGTGCTGATGATGTCGTTCAGAAGGACGATGAAAGCTCCACGACCAAACCACCCAGCTCAGAGAACAAACCAACATCAAAATCACCCACCTGAGCTACAAATCTTCTCCACCATCTCAAGTCTATACTACCTTCACTAGAAATAAACTGATAGCATATATTGAATGTAATATGTCAAATTATAGAAATTCCTTTCTTTTGATTATAGATGTAAACTTATGAACTTAATATAAGTATAAAATGAGAGAATTAATAAACGAATACCCTAACTGATTATCGTTTTATTATCAGAATATAAAAGTACAAATTTTATCGTAATCTATAAATGTAACTTCTTCTCTTCTTTATCAATTTGATTGTAAGTCTTTCCTTCAACAGTTTAACGGAATTCTAAGTTGATAGAAATAAAGATAGTTAAAAAGTTAAAAAAAGTTTATAAAGACATTTCTTTCGTTGAAAGTTTTCATTATTTCTTTGTATGTTTTATCTTTAGTTATATCAGTACTCATCAAATAAAAATTTACTTGACCGAACGGTGGGGAGGATGGTAATGTTAACTACACAATTCTGTGAACTAGTAGGTTTGTCAGCGCATACGCTATAAAGGAGTTAATACATTTTCAAAAGTGTATACTATACTATGTAATCGATTTTATCTATCACAATAAAAAGATTGAATTTTGTAACCCATGACAGAATAAATGAGTTGCTGATCAGTATTATTCAATCAAACAAATAGTTTTAGTAATTAGTTTCTTTTGACCTACAATTACTTGGATGGTGTTTTTAATTACAAATTTCATCTTAATTCCAATTGATTTCTTTGTTATTATCAGAAGGGGTTTTGTGGAGATTTAGCATTTTCACAGTTGAAATCTTGAGTCAATTGAAGCTAGACCACCATGGAAAATACTAAATCACCACAAAACCCCTTCTGATGATAATAATCATATGATCACTAGTGACTGACTTCAAGAGCTACTTCCTGGAGTTCTAGTGAAAAGCAGTGACCAGTGGGGTTCAACCAGGTCTGTTGTGAGATAGGAACTCACTGAAGACATTTGATGAACGGTTGCTCAAAATGGTGGATCAGTTGAAGTTAGACACTAACACCGTTGGATGCCGGCTCAGTGGTCTATCGGTTAAGTGATCTGACGCGAGACTGATAGGTTCTGGGTTCGAATCGCGCGACTGCGGGATCGTGGATGCACACTGCTGAGGAGTCCCATAATAGGACGAAACGGCCATCCAGTGTTTCTATGTTTTCGATGGTGGTCTAGCTTCAATTGACTCACGCTTTCAAATATGATATCTTTGTGTTTACAGAATAATGAACTAATCATTCGGTTTTTGTTTTTCTCTATATATCTGTTCAATACATGTATGAGTAGATATGGTATACATAAATAATTTTCTTTATTAAATTGTTTACAGGTATTGTCACAAATGATTATGCTGATGAAATTATTTTAAATCCTAAAGAAATAGCACGTCATTATGTAAAATCATGGTTTATATTAGATTTTATCAGTTCAATTCCAATGGATTATTTATATTTAATATTCAATAAAAAAGATCATTATAATCAATTTTTCAGTGCAGGTAAGTTTTTTTTTGTTTTACTAAAAGCGATTATTGATGAATTTATGTAATATCAACACTACACATAATCAGTGAATGTAATGATATCTTTAAGGCAAAAAAGAAAGCTGAACCTCCCTGTTTCCAACAGCCAAACAATAACCATATTGTAAATAACCCCTTCAAATGATTCTGATCTTAATGTTTCAAATGATGTTATGGTCAAAGTAATAGCAATTTCAAAAGTAGTTTTAGAGTACGTTGGAAACTAGCTATATTAATTTGATATATATGACTTTTCTTATCAGGAATCTACTGCACTTTTACGAATGTTGAATTAATTTTCAGTTATTTCAGTCCTAGAGAAGATTAACCACTGCCTGAATAATTCAATGGTTACATTTCAAACTGTAAAGCTAGATGATATATGTGCACATTCAGCATTTCCATCGACTACCTTCAGACACTTAGCATACACCTTATTGGAGAGTAACTGCATTTGGCAACTATAATTGCTATGTTTAAATCAAGCGTATATAGCTCCACCTATAAAGAATAATAAAACATTTTATTCTTACATGAAATATTAAGGATTTTTTTGTTAAGATACATCCGAATATTTATTTTACGCTTATTTAAACATCATTTTTCCAGTTAGAGAAAATGATTTTTAAATTATATAGATGGTTGATTGATATCGCAAGAAATTTAAGTTTAACGACGAACACATTGTTCAAAAGATTCAATATGCTTGAATGAATTTTTTTTAGATGATTTCTGTCATTTGGAATAATTTTTTTAAAAATGAACTAGAATTCTGATATTATCAAACCAACAGACTAATTAATTAATGTTCATATCTTGAAAGAGGGAAAAAGAAGTTTTTCAAATGTGTAGATGGTGTGCACAAATGTGATCTGAAGAAAAAGCCATCTCCTATAAAACAATGAATTGCTTTTAGTCATTTTTTTAACTTCTACTTTGTAACTTATTCCACTATAGCGTTTAGATAGTGAGAGTATAATTATCCAAATGTTTTCTATTCTATTATCTTGCCAAATTGTTTTTCTTCTAACGAATGATATTGATATATACCATTTTTAAAGTCATAAAATTACACTTTCAGGGTTTTGTGACTTTTAGTAGCCGTGTACACTATACCAGCCTATGACAGAACTTATGTGATAACCGATAAAATGAGATTACTCCAATGTGTTTTAACGATAGTACATTACGGACGATCTATGTATTTGATGTAAGGAATTGAAGAATGTTTTTTATGAGATAAAATCAGACAACAGATATATATTTAAAACCCTAACGGCTTTTTGTGCAATGTGAAAATCATAATTGAATGGTCATTGACTTGTCTGGACACCGTTTTTCACACTAACCCCAAAACTTTGAAAGGAAGGGATTCACAATGTTCTGTTCTATAAACATCACTTGAGCATTATTATATTTTATCATGATAGGACAAGTGTTGGATTTTTATTGAAATACTAACAGAATATTCCAACGTAGTCTTCGTAGATTGCAAACACAGATATTCGTAACTCACAAAAAATTCAATCTAAGTAGTTAAAAAAAAATTCATATACCAAATCTACTATGTCAAGGAATCTATCAATGTGAGGAGGTGTAAAATTAAATATTCTGAAATCTGCTTGCTAAACTGTTTTGTCACTCTCGTTAATCGTTCATCTGTCTGTAGTCAAGCATATATAGCTAATTGGTGTAACCAAATACGAGACATCCTACGGCCAGTCAACGCCCACAAACAAGATTCTCTTGTATGTTTCATTGAGAAGTTGCGCTTCGTAAAATCACGACATTCATCAATATGTACTTAAAAATATCTCAATTACATTCTTCCCTATTCAGCAGTGTAATATGGAGTTGGATTTGTGGAAAAGCATCTCTTCCTTCAATTCTGTAGATCACTTGCACCTAAGATCCTATCATTTTTAAAGATAAATTAATTATGTAATGTTTTTGCCAGTTAAGTATCTTACATTGAACTTCTACTTTATAACTGTGTGGGTGTCACTTTTTTGATTAATAGTATTACTACAGTTTCAATTAAACTCTGTGACTAAAACCTTTTTTCCATACATTTTTGATTTTATCAAACAATAAACAATAACACAATACACAATAACAATAACATATTCATTTCATTACATGTGTCACACATACCTACTGAAATAGATCGTGGGAACAAACATTTTAAACAACTACTTAATAAAACAAAAACAGAGAAAAATCTCATTGAATTGTAAATAAAAATATCTTAACAATTGTGAGAAGAAAATAAGTTTCTCATAATGAACCTTTATGGAAAATAAGAAGAGAATTGAAAAGTAAAGTGTGAAAGTCTTACTATTTACTGGTGCAAAGCTTAAAGTTAGTAATCAAGAGCGTTATCAGTTACGTTTTATCATTTTCAATCAAACACATTTGAATTCAGTTGACTCATTATCACTGAATTATATTTCTAGCAATAAGAACATGATGAAGCCTAGTAAGCTCTTCTGGAGAGGAATGCTACATCGAATCACAGCACAACAACCGGGGCTCAATATCTGTTTTTGCATTGCCTACACAGAACCATTACATCACTCATTCTTTCTTTTATTTTTTGAGCAAACTCATTCTTTCTTTTTTTTGAACCAACAACAATTATGCAATGATTTTTTGTAGCTTTCGTAATCATTTGTGGATAAAAGTAGAGTGATTGATTAGGCCGATCTCCACCACCCGTGTTACCGTTCACGTTAGTACATACAAACAATCTCATGATCCAGGAGGCACAACGAGGACGCGTGAGCCGGGCGTCACCTCCTATCATTGAATTATACTAAAGCATTTAAAAAAGCACATAGTAATCCTACAATATTTGAAAAAACGAAAAGGATTACAATAGAGCTTTTTTATAAAAAGAACTGGATAAGGAATATAGTTTTTTTAAATAAATAATAAATTTGGTGCAAATAATATCAAACAGTTTTTTAGGGCGTTCATAAAATATAACTACTGTTCTGGTAAGTTTATTACTGAAGCACAATGGCTATCAAACTATATATTACTTAAATCTACGTATAAGGATGTGAAAACCTTTACATATCTGGGCAGCATCATTGATGAACACAGTGGATCTGATGCAGATATGAGGGCGAGGATCAGCAAAACAGGAGCAGTATATTTACAACTAAAGAACATCTGGAAGTCAAAACAATTGTCAACCAACACAAAGATCAGAATTTTCAATACAAATGTTTAGACAGTCCTACTGTATGGGGCGGAGACGTAGAGAACTACGAAAGCCATCATCCACGAGATACAGGTGTTTATTAACAGTTGTCTACGCAAGATACTTCACACCCGTCGGCCAGACACTATCAGCAACATTCTATTGTGGGAGACAACAAACCAGATTCTAGTGGAGGAAGAAATCAAGAGGAAGCGCTGGAGGTGGATATGACACACATTGAGGAAAGCACTCAACTGCGCCACAAGGCAAGCCCTAAGATGAAGTCCTGAAGACCAAAGGAAAAGAAAAAGACTCAAGAACACATTACGCCGAAAAATGGAGACAGAAATGAGAAGAATGAACAAACATTGGATAGAACTAGAAAGGAAGGCCAAGGACAGAGTGGGTTGGAGAAAGCTGGTCGGCGGCCTATGCTCCATTGTGAGTAACAGTCGTAAGTAATATCTACATATAACAAAATTTATAATAGTCAATTGCCATCACGTTAATTTTTATATTTGGAAAGAATTTCATCGGAGTATTTCATTAAATAAGATAGAACTGAAAATTAAAATGGATTCACAATTGATAAATATATTTAAAATGCAGTTGTACAGTTTCCTTGGATTTTAAAGTTGAATAAAATCAACAACAATCAAAATGGTTGCCGAATAATATGAGTTCATTCGATTTCTGAATTCTTTCAAGTTTCAAAACTAGAAACACTAGCGGTCATTCATTCATGCATTAAAAATACTCAACAAAAAAAGCAACCATATATTATTATAATACATACCAATAAAGAGAGTTGCAACTAGTTATTCAAAAACAGGCAATGGTTAACATTCATCTGCTTTAGAAAGCATTTTGACAAATTTCCTTCAATTTTATTTTTTATAATTATAGTCTGGTAAGTAAAAACTTATATGCCAATTTGTTTAAAACCTCTTAAGCTTTCTTACGGCACGTCGCTGAACATTGGTGACTGTGTCACTGATAAAAGATAATATAGTAGAAAAATTCAGTAGTCGTTTAAGATAATACAACCACCTCGATAGCAAAAAGCCCCATAAGACAGACCTAAATACAATTCAGCCAAATGTGGCTGTGAATAGGGGGAATAGTAATTAATAGACTGGGGATAACTCAAGAATGGTAAATCATATAATAATAGTTCATAGGTCAAAATAAAGCTTGTAATAAAAGAAACATGAATATGAATAGTTAAGTTACTTAGCAATTATACAATAAACATTATACATATCATATTGGTCCATAAATAGTCCTCAGAGTTACCATTCATAATTCTTCACGGGATATAACAGAATTATACAAAACACATATACAATAGTTTTAAATTATTATTCCTATCATTTCAGTATTATGAGCATATAAAGTAAATTCATAAAATAAATGAACTCATCTACATTCGTTGTTCTTAATTTTATTCAACATAACTTGTTTGAAAGTTCAACTGTAAATCATATTGATAATTTGTACAATATGAACTAAAGGTTACAATAAAATATAAAAAAAATTTTAAACCATGATTTATTAAATATTAATCCATAATATAAACTATAAGGATAATATCACTTGGATTGATATATATTTATAGTAACTTTTTTTTGGCAAATGTGAACTTTATCATTCATCTGTAAAAAAAACAAAAAAAATATTATCATTATATTATCCTTTAAAAAGAAATATTTTATCACTATTAAAAAATCATTTATTTTTACGTGTTTTTTTTATTTTTATAAAATAAATTCAATAATCAATAATTAAAATTTATTTAAAATACAAGAAAAGTTTAAATAGTGGTATCATAGTGACCTTAATCTTTATATTGATCTATAAGATTTATATTATTTAATTAGTTACTATTCAATTAATTTTTTTTGTATTTTTTTGGGAAGGTGTATTCTGAAATATTTTTTATTTAAATGATAATGAATAAAGTATTCTAATTGAATGAAAATAATGATAAAACAAATGAGTATTGAATTATATATATTTTTAAATAAAAATTAAAAATTATTGAAGTGAATAATATAAATTATGATAATAAGTAATTTCATATCATACATTCGTAATATAACGGTGTTATGCATTTTTAAAAAAAAACGAGGCCGTATGCCAATTTATTGTGGTCTTAAAACCGGCTTTTCATCACGCGAATTATCCACCAATCGGAATATGACTTCCCCCAATCTTAACACTGTGCTAAATCAATGACGTTCGACAGGTATGAGCAGTCCAGCGTCCTTTTTGGTCTCTTGTCCGCCTAGCCCTTCCAATTGAGTCTAGAACACCAATCGCAGCTTTTTTTTATTCGAATCATTTATTTCAAGCATATTCTGTTTATATACCAGACCGCATCACACCGTAAAATAGAAAATGATATTTGTACAAGATCAAGTCAAATGTGATTGTGAACATGGGATACAGTAATCAATAAACTGAACATAATTTTGGGACAGTTAATCGTATAATAATAATAATCCACAGGTCAAAATGAAACTTATATTAAGATGAATATACATAAATTAAATCAAATAACTCAATAGTTAAACAATAAAAATGTATATAGAATAAACACCCACTAATAGATCATGGAAGTTACCCGTACTTATGTCTTCGCAAGGATATAACAAACGATTTACATTATTGGGTTTTAAATAAAACTAAACATAAATCAAACTTATAAACACTATTAATAATAATCAGTAAAAAAGAGTATGGTTTAGATTGACTTATATGTAAAAATAAATACCCTTGTTCCGAATCAAACAATTAATAGTAAGATTTAAAGAAAACATATCTAAATTTTCAAGGATCTTCTGAATATATGATGATTTAATTATAAAATTAATCGTTGAAAGATGCTAATCTAACTGCTTTGTAATTTATTTAACAAAAACATATGAATCATATAGTGTAATACTTTTTATATGCTTTATGATTATATCTTATATTTTTCATATACTACACTTCTGTTTCTAAATGTCTATATTCTATTTCAATTAATTGTAACCTTAAACTGAAAACTGTAAAGTATTATATGCATCCTATAGAACATTAACTTAAATCATTTATAAATTTTATTTATCAACTGCTTACTCTTCATAAAGAATAGATATTTAAAAATATACTGTAGTGTAAGTTACTTATATCCACATAAGTAGTAGATGATGATAGTCAGACATAGAATGCATTTTGGCAGAAGATCGATAAGGAAAGAACAGGATCGAAACTCAATTAGTATGAAAATTCACGAACAATGAAATCAGAGAAGATGGACTGATATTTGCAAAAGGAACAGTCAAGATTAAAACAATTGATTAATAGTTTGCAAATTACCTATTTACTGTATAGTTATCGGATTTTAGTGAACTAGTCTGTAATTTGTGCCTCCACTCATCTTCTTATTCCTTACAGTACAACTGTCCTTTCTTCTTTTTCATTTATTTTATATCAATATATTTGTAAGTAAAATAAATTCATTACTCTGAAGACAACTTTATCAAATTATTTATTTAAATCCTAATTACTTACTCACTTACTTATGCCTGTTATCCCCAATGGAGCATTGGCCGTCGACCAGCATTCTCCAACCTACTCTGTCTTGGGCCCTTCTTTTCTAGTTCTTAGAAAAGATTAAATGTTACATCAAAACTTCAACTGTGTAAATAAACAAGTTACAAATTTAAAATTAAATTTCTAACCACTATTTATTCTAATTTCAATTAAAAATATATAAATTAAAATCCAAAACATTTTTATTTAATTCAATTAACTAAAACAATATGAATAAATTAACAGCTGATTTTTCATAGATAATAAACTATTACTTATTTAAAATAAGTATTGTTTGTTTGTTTTGTTTTTTTCCTTTTATAAAATCATAGGGCGTACTTTAAGAATTTTACGTTTGGCTAAATTATTAAGTATGCTACGTTTATTAAGACTTACTCGTTTAGTACGATATGTCAGTCAATGGGAAGAAGTAAGTAATTTAATTTCTAATTTATCTGTTATTGTAATTAGCGCATATTTTCTTCTTAACATTGAAAGAATTAAAATGATTGAAAGAAGCTTATTATATTACATAATCAATTGGATAGGTATGTGTGTTCATTTAATTCAACCACGTTTTATATTCTGTATTCATATATATCTAGTGAATAATTAGATTTAATATGTAATTGTTAACTTTTAGTTAAGATTCAATTGGTCATCATTAATAATATAAAGATTTGATGTTAGAAGAAAGTGCAATGAACCGTTTATGTATATTATTTTTTGGCATTAGTTGTCTAGTTATAAAACTTTATATATATATAAGAACTTTCGTCTAAATTAGAGCAAATAGTTTCACGGTGTTTGGGCGCCGAGTTGATGTAAGACATTAAATAAGAATAATATATTTGTAAAACCTAAGCGAACAAATTTGAAGTAAGTCCAACGTTTCGCCTGGAAATCTGGTTCAAGCTTTTTCAAGGAGATATATATATATGTCCGAATGAAAGATGTTTACAGACTACTAAACGTTTTCTGTTACATTCGAAAAAATATAAATTACAAAGACTTAGTAATATTGTATAAATTTCTGAAATTAGATTTCATAACAATTTATACAATAGAAATGCTCAGTAGTCACAATAATAGCTTAGCAGTTCATTTTAAGAGCATTAGTAGTTTAAGCAAATAACTTCAATATTTTGATTTGACGGTTTTACTGTGATCATAAATTCGATTAATGTCAAAATCTTGATTACAAGAGATTCTATGAATGATCAATCGTGTTTAAGCTTTTAAAACGATTTGCATACAAACAATTTAAAAGTATAACTGTATAAACGGATTAAAAACTTTATTATATCTAACATGCAACATATGATGAGCGAGTAAACTGTTTTTACTGTAAAGTGTTTGATATTGTATTTCATGTTTTCGTGAATTAAATTTTAAAACTAACCTGTTGCAACATGAAACAAATTAAGAATTTCCCTTGAAGCTACATTACTTTGGAAGAAATTAGGATCATTTGTGTAGAATAACCCAAAATACGTCAGCATAGGGGTGTGTAGATAACGTCGAATGTTACTGGTATGACAAACCGACGTAAGTTAGACCACTTTTGAAGCAGCTTCCCAGTGCTTTCGGGCTTTGGATGATTTTCCAGCTTAGGTTGGTTCGTAATTTTAATAACACTCAACAATTTCCATAATTTATGTACTGTGAATCATCATGTAATCACTAGTCATTAACTTCGGGAGGAAATTAACGAAGTCCTAAGGAAAATATGGGACTAGTAGATTTCAGCCATGCTGGGTGTGGGAGAGTTACACAACAAAAAGACATAGTTGTTCACTATCGTCAACCGATCAAAGTTAGGGTTTTGTGGTCTTGGATACCGTCTCAATGCTTCGTAGGACAAGCGCTCGTGCGCGAGACAAAGTACCTTATTTCTAGCCCCATTGAAGAAGCCATGAATGGTCAGTAATGTAGAGTCCCATTCCAGAACAAAACATCTGTCTGTTGTTTCCAAGCATTCGTCTGCGACCTAATTTAAGTTATTTCATGATCTCAGTAGCACAATACATCATATGAAGATTGAAGTGCAATGTAGAACCATAAATATCAGATTTAGATAAATTTGCATCTTAGTAACACAGGCAATCATGAACTTAATCACTTTCCAATGCATCAAAAACATTCTTCCGCCTAAAACAATCAGCTAGAGGCTGTAAGCTAGTGCCTTTGTTAAAAGCTGAAACCGGTCACCAAGATGTATCTAGATTTACAAAGATTTTGGGAAACAAACATGTTAGTTGTAAAAACATATTTTTGTAATCGTACGAACTTTATTTAATTATTACAACTGTTTGGTCGAGTTGAATATTAAAATACAAAATCCTAATCATAACCACGGCTCACTGAAATAAACTCTTCATTAGAAATATCAAGTACTGAGAGAAAAATCTTATTCTGCAGTGGATTTCAATAGATCAAACTATCATCTTCATTTCGCTGAAATCATGAATCGATCAATGTTAGACTACCATTAATATCTGGAAGCACCGGACAGCTGTTTTGTCCTGGTAGGGAACTTACACATAACCTTGGGATAATCATTACTGTTATTTTAAAATTGTTAGGCTGGGGATTTGTATCATCATTTTGAAAAATTAAGTAATGCTATCATTACTATCAGTTTAGTTATGAATTCAAATAAAACAGAAAGAATTAGCTAGAAACTTGTGTTTATATAAAGATTTTCTTTCACAACTAGGGAACATCGTTTTCTTAAACATCTCATAATTATGCAGTTAAATAATACTTTATGACTGACCAATATAATTACATAAAAAACAAAACAATGTAATATATGAAAGATTATTAAATACTTTTAGTAAATGAAATTCAATCAAAACCATACACCTGAACAACAAATCTGCTCCACTATCTCACTAACATATACAAAAACCTATTGAAGCATCATGTAAAAAACTAAAGGAATTAGGTGAAATAAGATTATAACAGATTAAATAAACTCCATGGCATAAAATATCAAATGCAATTATTTATTATTTAAAATAAAATCTAATATAAACAGCTTAAACAAGAAAGTATTCTACAAAGTTGATTATATTTTATAGTTAGAAAATGTTTAATTTACTTAATTTTGTAAAGAATTATATAACTATTTCAGTTATGAAAGTCAATTGAACTTCATGGAATGTTTTTTTTTTCAATCCAATTTAATGTAGAATATTTTTCAACTATTTATAAATATAAGCAAAGATGGATAGTGTCTAGCAATGGAATCCAGAATGCGCGTTTCGTCCTATTTGGGACTCGCCACCTGGATGTACCTCCATCTCAAAGTTCATGTTCACTCTGTAACTCGAAACCACTACCTTTCGCTTCAAACACCATCACGTTATCCATTCAGCGACTGAGTCCAAATGGGCACTAGTTTGTGCAATGGAGTGAAGTTTAAATTCATACTGTGCTTATTGCCTCAATATAGCCTAAACTCACAAGCATTATAAGCAAAAATGGACTCAGTAGCTGAGTGGATAACGCGATGACGTTTGAAGCGAACAGTACTGGTTTCGATTCCTAGAGTGAAGATCAACTCTGAGATGCAGGTACACCCAGATGACGAGTCCCGAATAGGAAGAAACGCGCGTCCTGGATTCCACTGCTAACCACTATCCATCTTTGCTTACAGTGCTTGTGAATTAAGGCTATATTAAAGCAATAAGCAGAGTATGCACATATAAGACTGACCAGTTGCAGTCTTAAACAATGGAAGATTCAAACATTAAATACTAAGTGTATTCATAAATATATTTTATATCTATAGTTTTCAAAATATATTAAAAATTACATTTATCAATGGAATGCATGTTCTAATATATAGTAATATGAAGATATATTAAGTAGTCACATGAAATTTATAACAAACTACTAAATTAATTTTAAAGATTCTTAAAAAGAGAGATCTATTCATATAAGTAGTCTAATATGTAGTAGTAAAATTTGATTATTTAACACCGTTGTACGCCGGCTCAGTGGTTTATCGGTTAAGGGCTCCGGTTCGAGACTGGTAGGTCCTGGGTTCGAATCTCGCGGGTGCGAGATCGTGGATCCGCACTGCTGAGGAGTTCCATAATAGGACGAAACGGCCGTCCAGTGCTTTCAGGTTTTCGATGGTGGTCTAGCTTCAATTGACCCATGATTTCAACTATGAAAAAAGAAATTTTTGACTAGATTATATAAAGTAATATATATTTTTTTATTTCAGTTTTTAAATATTGCAAGCAAATTTATGGGAATATTCAATTTAGTTTTATTAATGTTATTACTTGGACATTGGAATGCATGTTTACAATATTTAATTCCAATGCTGATGGATTTTCCTCCAGATTCATGGGTAAAACGTTGTAAATTAGAAGTGAGTAATTCAAATTTAGGTATTTGTTAATTGAAGTATATATATATATATATATATATATATATATATATATATATATATATTGAATACAAAATAGTATTTATATAATGTTGTTGTATTTTTATCAATGAAGTATAAAATGATTTTTTAGGACTTTTCAAAGAGTTACTTTTTTTTACTCTTTTCAAATACTTTTTTTCCAACCGACATTGTTTAGACTGTTTTCTAATCTGTCAGTACTTTAATAGATCCTCTTGAATCATAATATAAAATATTATTGAGAGATTTGATGAAAGAAGTGTGAATATCAATTCTCGGCATCAGTATAGCACTTATATGAAAAAAATCTTAATCTATTAATATAAAGCTGGAAATCATTGTCGGCAAATATCTAACTATTCATATAAGTATGAACAACCGGATAGATTGCTTTGTAGAACTCTCATGAAATCAATATGATTAAAGCATTGTTATAGAGTCTTATAATTGACTGACTCACTTAATTTTATAATTCAATAATTAGTTTAAATTTTAAGGTTAATGTTCAAATATGTTTTAAACCTGATTGTTTGTCAACTACATAGCCATAACTTAAAACAATTTTTTTCAAATTTATTTAACAAATTCTATTCACTTATTATTTCTGCAATGTAACATAACAGATGATAAATTGGGAACTGTATCACTCCCATAAATGAACTGTTCAGAATGTTGATAAACTTGGGAAATTTTGAAAAGTAAACTCATTGCTTAGATATTCTTCTTATATCAAATAAAACTTAATATACTTTGTGATTCATTCTATGATTATAACATCTGACTTCATTGTTTGAAAACTGTCTGAGAAACTGAATGATCAGATCGTGTGCATGTTCATTATAAGTGAATACTTTTCCACTATGTTCATTGTACAAATTTGCTAGATCTTTAGATAATAGCATTCCAACAGTCATTGATGTGAGATAGCCATATCTCTAAATCAACATTGAAAAACTGTGGTGCATTCTTGAAACATAATTAAGGTTCATAATTCCATACATTACTCTCTATAGACAAATACACATTTATGTTTGTTCCTGGATTACTAATACATACTTTAAATACCTTTCAAGGCTAATATTTCCAAAAGAAATGTTAATGAACATTAAACGATATTCTAAGACATTTGAGTAATTCACATAAACAATAAGCATTTCTGCCTGACGTTTCGTTAAAAACGAGCATCATTCATCGTTTGAAGAACGTTCTAATATGAATAGAATTTCTGGATCTTTTCATTTAGTTATTTATTGTCTTAGTAATTTGAGGAAATTTCTACTAATTATTGACGCTGTAAACGGACAAAATGATCAGTGTTTGTTCAGGTAAGTATTATAACATCATACATAAGATGAGAACTGTGTCAGATCATTAAAGGTAATATACCATGCTGCTGTTAGTCTAAGTTTAACCAGACTGGTAATTTTGAAATACTAGAAATTGTGTTCATACGTGAATTATTATTATTTGTTAACAAAATGTTCCTCTTTTCAATCTAAAAAAACAGTGGATTAAGTACATATATTCATCAGGTATACTTAATATCCATTAGGAATCAAATGTAACTATTGCTCTTGTCATAACTACAGGTTCTGTTATCATAAACTCATCAAAATATTTTCAGATAAGTAATTCTTCCAATAAAACAATTTTTCGTCATCATAAAATAAAAATGTATGAGAAATGTCTCAGTCTAACAAACTCTGAGTGTTTGAAAGTTATCTTATCTGCATCCTCTAGTTATTAAGACATGACGGAAGTCAGTTATAGAGGCTATAGAAATCTATCTACTACTATAATTCAGACATTACCAGTGTTTACAATTACGTATGCATCACTTTACTATTGATGTACAAGAATATAATACATGTATAACCAATTACAGTTTTTAGAATCAAAAGCATATCTGTTTCGTAGTAATACAAATGGAGTATTATTATCTTATCGTTCTCTCGTTTTCTGTTTTTCAAAATAAAGTTGCGACTTTCAAATCGTTTAAAGTTATCTTACTAACAAGCCATTGGTAAACAAATGATAATACTATACATTTGATAGTCTACTAGTGTTCACATTCTCGTACACTTATACAATATGTACAGAAAACCGGAAATTGACACTATCAGAAAAACATTCATTAAAAACAGATCTAAATATCAGAGTTGTTTGAAAAACAAATCTGTTAGAGTTTTGGAATAAAGTAGCTAATAAGTGTCTAATACGAATAAAATTTTGATAAAAAGCTCTAAAGAAGAAAGGTGATGGTTTACAATAATCAGTGATCATATACCTAGCAATTATTTGCTTTTAATCGATAGTCGATGCCTACTGAAATGTTCGGGTTGAGTAGTTTAGTTGAAAGTTATGCGATAAATCATGAAAGTTATAACATTTGTCAAACATTATTAGGCGTGGACTTTTATCACTCCCACAATCACATGATATATGACCACTACAATAAATATAAATGGAGTCAGGCTACTTTTGGAAATTTAAATTCCATAAAACACACGGAGTATTACATAAGAAACTTATAAACCTCTAATTCAATTGATCTCACACTGTTATGCAGTTTTACTGATTTTACAGGCAAATCGGACAGTAAGATGTTGCTTCATACCATGTGTTGTGACGATTTCCAAGCCACATTTTTTATATACAACTAAATACAATTAAAAAATTGCAAATTTTCCAAGCTGTTTACAAAATGGGTCGCCAATTCCAATAAAAATACTACAGAGACAACATTGTAATGTACGAGAACACAAGTGGTAACAACCGAGTGTATTTTAATATATTATAGGACATCTTAGTAAAATCTGAGAACCATACACTAAATACTTCATTTGCAAAATATCCATTGAGTGTCTCAAACATTGTTGTTTTTTCGTTTCTATGCCAATCACTCCCTGTTATCGTTCTTTTCTTTCTGATTTTCTCAACCTTCTAACGCCAGGCAAGCCACTTTTGATTGGTGATAAATACTGCCCATATCTATCGACACCAGTAGCACACACTTCAGTATCACCTTGGATCGGATCACTTTAGATTTAAATAATCAGTTTTAGCGGATAGTCGGAAGTTGTGGTAAAATAATTGACAAAACGCATAGTATCTTGACAATATAATACTATCAACACTTGATGAAGGCTATTATAGAGTTATCAACTACAGAAAAAAATTAAGATTTTGAATTGTGTCACTCCACTACTGTTTCGTCTAAAGGAGTTTAAAAGTATAAAACCTTACAGTATTCACTTTAGAAATAAACATTTAGTTGTCTTCAGGTGCCCAATGAGATATCATAGTTCCTCAGATGTTTACACAAATTTATCTTGAGAAAAAGTGTTTTTAATCACATTGTTAGTCTCATAATTTATTTAAAATATAAATGCAACCTATTTAATTCTATTGTTTTCTACTTAGAATGCAGATTGGTTCCAACAGTACACATGGGCATTGTTCAAAGCTATGTCGCATATGCTTTCCATTGGTTATGGTCGTTTTCCACCAACAAGTATTGGTGAAGCATGGATTACAATTGTTAGTATGATGAGTGGTGCAACTTGCTATGCATTATTTGTTGGTCATGCTGCAGCGTTAATTCAGTCATTCGATACGTCTAAAAGGCTTTATAGGGAAAAGGTGTGTTACGTTTGTCTATTGTTGTATAAACAATTAAATTTTTACTGAGCAATGAGGATAAATAACTAAAGAATTCTGTGAAAGGAAGGATAATGTACATTAGATTATTTGGTAATTTCGAACTCCCCATAAAGTAGTCTTAATGCTCTAAAATAAGTTGAAAACCGAGGTTGTTTCGTTTTTGATAGCTAACTACGAGTTCAAAACAAATAATGCTATTCATTGATTCAGTAAGATTTTTCTTCAACCATCCTATAACACAATCACCAATCGTCTAAGATAAGCCTCTTTAAAACGAACTCGATAATCATAATTGCATTTCACCTATTTTAGATCATATTCACATGATTTGTTTCATTAAATTTATTATAAATTGATACCTAACAGCTCATTTTTCCACTTCTTTCTGAAATGACCTTTTAAATTCACAGATGACATATTTGAGCATATTTTAAGCGTAACCAATACAACAGTTCACTATCTAAACAAATGTTCTTATCAAATTTAATCACAATATAACTATGTAAGCTTTATTTTCATCAATGTAATACGGTAGTTATGAATTCATGATTGTAGAGCATCATAGTGAAGTTAGTGGACTCATAGTTCACTCCAAATAATCCTTCTTTTCAAAAACATACTAATGTATATAAACTGATATATATATATATATATATATATATTGTAGAAAAGAAACATTTAATGGTACCCAAAACGTTTCAGGTAAGGTTTCTAAAGTCCATATTCTAATAACAATATGTAGTATTTTTGACTACACTCCAAATTGATGCCTGATATAACAACCGATATTAAGATAATGATTTCTGTAATCTGTTAGTATGTAATTATGAAAATTGAATAAAATCTTATGGTCATATTAAAGTAAGTTAATTACGATCTTGTCTTAATAAATTTCACGTAAGAGGATCGTTGACTTATAAAATCTCTAAAAAGATTATTATTCATACAACCGTCTTACAGGAAAATAATTGGATAGATTGTGGATCTGAATGAACAGGATAGAAATATCTAGTTACTTCATTATAAAACTGTAATTTTCGTTATACGTTAGTGTAATTTAAAATTTTCAAGGTCAATAAAAATTACGCAGATGGAATGAGATGAAGGGAATTTGTGGAATTTATTGTAACTATAGGAGAGAGTGAGATGGAGAGATAAAACTCTAAAAACAATCAACAAATTATTCATTTAATTAATTTACATTTTAAAATATCGTTAATTTTCATGATTTCAACGCTCCAATACGAAAAAAACAGATTTGTGGTAATGAATACAAATGACCACGTTGTTTTTCTTGTACTTAGCTTGTTTGACAATTATAAATATTATTTTAATAGTTGAATTCATAAGTCAATCTAAGTTAGATCACTATTTAAAACCTAGAAACACTGGACGGCTGTTTTATTCAAATATGTGACTCTTCAGAATTACGCATCCACGATCCCACACGTTGGACTCTAACCCAGAACCTACGGTCTTTCGAGTGAACGCTTAACTTCTAGATCACTGAGTTGGCCGGCATCTAACGGTTTTAATGTCTAACTCCAATAGATCTATGATCTTGCACAACCCATCATTACAAATATACTAATAATGATAGTTTCATAATAACTACATATGAAATCTGTAGGATGATATAACTTTTAAAAATTATAAATAATAGTGTTCTTTTGCATAATCGAAATTATTGTATAGAGTAAATTAATTTAGTAGATTGATCACAAAATGATAAAATTAACAACAGAAATAATATAAAATGAACAATGAATCGATCAAACGTTTGCTGTGAATACGATTAAAATGAAATGATCTTTTTTTCTGAGTTAAGATTATGCATTACGAAAGTATTGAGAAGTGATGGGCTACTACAGTTTTATGTAAACAGATTTCACATTAAAAAATGTAGATTTACCACCACACGACTGATTCGGTTGTCGACAAGACTGTTGTATAGCTATATATTCTTGACTCAACTATTTGATCTTATAATACGGGGTCACAAGTTGGAACTCAGCCGGGAAGTTTTAATATTATATCGTAAAAACATTAGGAATCATTAAAAAAAATCCATTTGATCAAGAGAATCTGCAGCTTAGGGAAATTTGAAAATGTTTTCTCTGAGATTAGTAATTTAATTATGAAGTTATTGCTTTGTTCCTAGACAACGTCATCAAAATGTACTTCAGATAGAAGTAAGCAACTGAAATTTCACAACAAGCCACTGAAAGCCCATCATGTCAAATGTAATACAATCGGTTATTGTTCTTTCATCCTTCACACATCAATTCTGATTGACTTCCCCTTTGAATTAATTGTTGGCTTAGTTCCTTCTGGTTTTTCTAATTCGTGTAATAAGGCATGTACACAACTGTAGAGACATGTTTGATAGAGGAAACTGTCAAAATCCTGAAAAGGGATAACTTAAAGAGAATCAAAGTTTTTATAAGCTTCCTAATCAGGTCAGTCACAATAAATGTAATCAAATAACTCCAAAATTAAAATTTACCTAATGTGAATTGAAATGTACCAAATAGGAAAATAAGTCAGGTCAGGAGATCCAGGAAGAAGTTCAATGATCGTATAACAGCTGAATAATACCAGATGTCTAAAAGACATTGTAGGATATTTTCTTGATTTACTTGCTTACTAAAATCCAATTACTAAATTACAAACAACAATTTAAAAATAATGTACGCAATAATTCAATCATTGACTGAGGTATTGCTTACATTTTTTACGTGAATTTATTCTTATTACTTAACAAACTAAACGTTTAGAACGTTAGTATTATGATTGATGGATGCTAATATAGGAAATTTAGGTGCACCATCACCTCTATGATTAGCATAGACTACACAACTAATAAGGGCTTTATGAATCTAGAGATTTGAATGGTTAACTTCCAGCTAGTAGGCTCCGCGTTCAAATCCAATTCACGGTTATCTTATTGTGGAGTAGTGTTTTAATCACGTGTTTTGAACATATTTAAAATGCTATGTACAGTAGTATCAAACATTTAACACTACTGATATTTTAGAACCTAATTTGAAATTGCAGAAGTGCATCAGTCAACCACTTTTTTTAATCTTTGAGACTAACACTAGAAAAAACACATGTGTGAATCATTTGAAAGATATACTGTTTTTATCAAAGGTATATCTATAACGGTATATATATAACGTATGCTACCCAAAGATAAATGTTTTAAAGAAGATTATATGAACTATTTTAGAAAACAAACTAACATTCTTTAAACATATGTTCTTCAATATGTGTTAACCAAATTAAAACTAGAAAATTTCTGATAACAAGCATCAAATCATATATCTTTTTCTCTTCAAAAGCTTAAACAAACAGTTTATTCCCATAGTGTTAATGGTTCACAAATAATTTGTCTACCATTAAATTTAAAATACATATTGTACCTTTCGACAAAGAAAACGTTTTATCTAGTTTATTATGATAATTGTGTCTCATTGAATTATATTACTTAAAATCCAGTTTTAAAGGTAAAAACAAGTTTCATTTTAATACTGATATCGCAAACAGTAATCACATTTTAATGAAACTGGTAGTTACCAAGTATTAGCTGAAATTTATTTCTTTATCATTATATAAATCGGAGAGGTAAAAAGATTCTGATGAAGAACTCAAATCAAAACAGATTTAAGAAACATTCACTTTGATACTTAAATTCATTCAATGATGTCATCAAGTTGTAAAATATGTTTTTAGCTTATAAATACATGTTACGGTTAATGATTATAAGTTTAATCAAATCTACATCATAGTCTATACACATGAAGAACCATGTTAAATTTGAATTTGAGATTTTCACTATCATTAGGTTTTGGAATCGCTAATAGGAGGATAGGTATAGCCAGTCTCCTATCATATGGAAACATTGAAATTCCAGAAGCCAACTAAGTTGTGGTTTACTTAATCTTTTCTAACAGCTCGGGTTTTTTAGTTACAAACTAGCTGCTTGCATGCAATCTTCGAGTCGCGGGCTAAAAATCACTAATTATGATGTCGTGAACGTCGTGATAATTGCTGGAGTCTGTATAATGTATAATAGTTTTTATTTCCTGACTAATGATTACCCCTAGATCACTGTATGTCTAGTCAAAAGGTAACTGCGTTAATCATTATTTCTTTATTTTCACCTTGATTGGCGTTACATATCATAACGTGATGGGATACATTATCTGACAAATGACCAACTCTTTTGTCTAGTTATTCAGATTTTTCTGATTCTCGGAACTTTTTAAATCCTCATTATGTTAGGTTGTAAATGAAACTAAATTTTAAACTTTCTCTACCATTCTGTCCTGCCACTTTCATTAATGTCAAAAAAACTGAATTAAGATCTTAAAGGTTCGTTACATGAAATGATCTCGAAATGTTGTCAATGGAACCGTTGTGTTGATTCCATTTATCAAGTATGACTTAGACAAAGATTATTATATTCAATTAGTAAAGTTATGATATTAGAGATTTATAGGTCAATCACAAAAGATTTCTGCATATGTATTCATAAAACATCAGTAGTGTAATTTATCTCCACTGATTCGGCTTTCATTTAATAGTTTAACACATTCAATAATGTTGGTATGATTTCAATCGGTTTGGATTAGCTTCCCATGTATTTATATTCCCAATTTAATTACTTTTGTTAATCACTCCACTTAATCTAACAGTTAAACGTTTCTCTTTTTAAACTACCAAACTTGACAAAGGATTAGATCTATCTTCTAATAAACTAAACTTCAGATTCAGTACAATCAATAATAATAATAATCATATAAAACATGATATTCTTATGAGATTTCGCTTATAAACAAAATTCTGTTCTAAAAAAGGAACGTAACAAAAAATTTTTTTTAAAAAAAAGTTCAATCGAAATCTTAAAAGGAATCTGTTATTAAATCTGCATTTTTATTTACTTCCAATAATTTTCCGACACTCAAATTACATTCAAAAAGTAATTCATATAAACAATATTTTATATGACATTTTGACAATTTGAAAAAAAATACAAAAAAAAATATTTATAAAATAAATTTTCTACATGATTAAAAGTTCTTTATTAATTTGTTAATTCATTTAAAGTAATTACTTTTTTCTTAAAAAAAGAGAGAAAAATAAGGACACTTTAAATACCCAAATTATTCTCCTCTTTTTTATAATCATGCTGCGATACAGTTGAAAATGTTTAATGTCTATTATAAAGTGAAACTATATATATGTATATATATTGTAAGCAAAGATGGATAGTGGCTAGCAGTGAAATTCAGGACGCGCGTTTCGTCCTATTTGGGACTCGTCAGCTGGATATACCTGCATCTCACAGTTGATGCTCACTCTGGGACTCGAACCCAGTACTGTTCGACTCAAACGTCATTGCGTTATCCACATAGCTAATGAGTCTTGATGGGCACTAGCTTGTCCAACGGGGTAAAGTTAAAATTCTCTGAGTATGCACATATGCCAATAGGAGACTGACCAGTTGCAGTTCTTAACATCAATGGGAAGATTCAAACAAACAATTCGTTAAGATTGGTCTTAACTCGGCTTTTGTTGTGTTGTATAAAAGTGTAAGAGGGCATATAATAAGGTTTATTAAAGCCTTAGCCATACGAAAATTCAAACCCCTTTTGTGTATTCAAAAACAGTTTGTTCTCTCCTTAAATCTACCCTGGTAATATTAGCTTACTATCCATAGTGATTAGGTGTCAAATTGTTTTCACATTATTATTATTATCTTTGTCTATTCTTACCCATTTCCAGTCTAGTTGACCTATTTTTATATATAAATGTTCTTAACAAGCATATGTGTGATCAGATTGTTCGAAATGTATTGCGGTAATATATCACATAGTTCTGATAATCTTCGTCTTCCTATTACATTATCGAAATCTGTTGTTCGCTAATATTTTGTCAATCTTTTGTTTGTTTGTTTTCTTGATTATGAAAAGCATTATAAATGATTAGTTTACTACTATAGGGATTAGTTAAAGTTAACACTATATAGAAGTGTTAATTGTTATTCAGACTAAAAAGGTTTATCTTGATAGAAATCAATTATTTGTTAGAAAATATTCCGATTGTTTTATGCTCATCTTCCTTTTTTTAAATACTTATTTAGTTTAAACAAGTTGAAGAATATATGGCTTATCGTAAACTTCCAAGAGCATTACGTCAAAGAATAGCAAATTATTATGAACATCGATATCAAGGAAAGATGTTTGATGAGGCACAAATATTGAATGAGTTTTCTGAATGTCTTAGAGAAGTAAGTTCAATCAACACTTTTTAGATGTTATTACCTCAAAGGTGTTGTGTTTTTAATAATCTTGACCGAATATTGATCAGTCTTAATTGATATATATGCATACTGTGCGTATTGCTTCAATGAATTCATTATTTACAAATCTTTATAGAATAAACGGATTTTAGTTAGTAGCGGAATCCAGAACTCAAGTTTCAGATCATTCAGGACCCGTCAGGTTAATGAACATGAATCTCAGAGTAGATGTTCATATGAAATGAATAAATCAAGGCAATGTTTACAGCATGCACATATGTCAATTTAGAGCTGATGAGAATTCACTCAAAAACATCAACAACACGATAGTCCAAAAGCAATTAAAAATTGGATTAGGATTCATTTCCGCTACACGAGCGAATGGTCATCTAAACTAATTAGGTTGTGGGTAACTAGTCAACTGTTAAGAACGAAGGGTAGTGCGTTCGATTCCAGGAGTGGACATCGAATCTAAGATGCAGGCGTATCAAGCTGACGAGTCCTAAGTAAAACAAAACACTCGTCTTCAGTTCTATTTCTATTCACTATATATACATTTTCAAACACCAATCTATTTACATTGATAAAATCAAACTATGATTTTATAGAGTAGTTAGTCCACCTAAGCATTAGTTTATGTTTTCACTTGAACATTCTCTTCAACTTCTGTGACATACTAGATCAAAGTAATCGCTTTACGTGATTTTGAGATCTGTTCACTGCACACTTATGATCAGGTAGTCTATTAATGAAGGCCATTTTAAATATAAGTACCTAGAGAATTATATATTAGGTAAAATGACCAAACAGCGGTATGTATGGATTCATATTACCTGCGGCAGATTTAACTATAGAACCTCGAACTTTGTTTAACATTCGACAGTAACTAATTATTGGATAGAACCGATAATTTTCAACGGAAAATTTTATCTACATTTTACGGTTATCAATTAATTTTTAGCAGTAGAGTGTATTAATATTCCAGAAATTGGAAAATAAGGGTTTGACGTTGAGTCACTTAACTTAGATGATTCATTGTAACCTCAAAGTCTAAGTTAAAGATTCATAACAATTATATTGCATAATACTCTTCAAATGAATAAGAGTAATAATGAGTTAAAATGTCGAGTATTTTTGACTGAGGTACCGATGGTCATGGACCATTAGAGCAAGGGTGCCCGGGAGCAGTGAACAGATGTCTGCACCATATATCATTCAACAAGGTAGTAACTACATCTGCAGCAAAATGGGAGTCATTATCAGTCACTAATACCATAAGAACACCCTCCCGACTAGAAATGTTTCTTAATGCTTGGACTTTGGAGTCAGAATTCGGTGAAGTTATAAAAACGTTCAGGCCACTTCGAAAAAGAATCCATAACAAAAAGTGCATAACATTTGTCAAGAAATGGACCACAGTAGTCTGAATGAATTCTCTGCCAGGCCTCAGATGATACTGGCCATGGAGTCCAGTTTGAAGGATGATTTTTCAGCTTATGACATTTTCTACCATTTTTGCTGCACGACATATATCTGCATTTATCTCCGGCCACCAACATGTGAGTCTTGCCAAGGACTTCAATTTCTCGACACCTAAATGTCCACAATAAAGATCTTCAAATATGAATAACAACGCGATCATTTAGACACAAAATCCCATCAGGAGTAGTGGATAATTCATCCTGCTTTGATAGATAGACAGGAAATTTACGTTTCAGATTAGCATTCCAACCTTTCCATATAGCACTGAGTATACACCCAAAGTATCTAAGAGTTTCTCTAATGAAATCTGAACGTCGCACCGGCAAAGATTGCACTAACAAACAGTCCGAAGTAGCAACAGGTCTATCTTGTATTGATTGTTGAGAAATGTAGTCCACATGTTGAATTTGTTTGACACTCTTGTGCTGAACCATATAGTCATAGGCACTCAAAGCAATACTCCATCATTAAACCATAGCTGAGGAACGTGCTAAGGATTTTTCAGGATGATAAATGAACTTTAAAGCTTCATGATCAGTAACAATAGTGAATTTCTTTCCGAATAAATATTTATGAAACATTTCAACAGCTCAAAACACAGCTAAAGCTTCTCACTGAGTTTGTGAATAACCTTGTTCAGTAACAGTAAGTTTGCGTGAAACACAGATAACTGGTCTACCTTCCTGCTCCAAGACTTCATCAATACCCAGAGGTGATGCGTCAGTAATAAGTGTAGAATTTACCCTAGGTGAGTAAGTTCGAAGAACAGCATAACTTTGAAGAAACCTTAGTAGGATTCGCAAGTATGACTTTTGTTCCTCACCCTATTTGAATGAACTTGATGTCAAAATATTAAATAAACAATTGTTAAGACATGAAAAATTAGAAATAAAACGGGAATAATCTTAAGAACACCTATTGGTGAACGTAGTTCTGTAAGACTTTTCAGAGATGATGTATTGGTCAGTGAAGCTAGTCGCTTTATATCTGGTTTGAAACCGTTACCGTCAATTAGGTACCCGTGATATCGAATACTGGGTGCACAAAATGAACCGTAGTATTGTTCTAGACTGAACAGCTTTTATGACAAAACGTCGTATATTTAGGCAAGACATTAATAACCATATTATTTTAATGTGTCAACTTTAAGCGTCATAGATTTAGTCGCTAGATATCTTTTCAAAAATCAGATATTAAATTACCAAACATTTAAACGTTAATTACACCTGATAATGAATCTGAAATCCTGATTAACATTAAAATTACTTATGGTCGTAAATGGTATCATCACTAAGGGTTATAATTGTCAAGTGCATTATAGAAGACACAACCATTAAATCAAAATACAGAATCCTGTTCATCTTGTTCTTAAATATACATAATAGTGTACTACATAGACCGAATTACTCAGTGATGCAACGATTATAAAATAAAGAAGTCCGTGTATGTTGTTTCTGTCTATAACTGAACGGTGATTCGAATGAACTGTTCTCTCCAGACGGAAACATTATTATTATTATCATTAGCTTTATTCAATATTGTATTTTTGGAACAACATAGAATTCTCAGCACAATGTATTTCAACAATTTCCGTTCCTTACTTCTTGATCGATCCTCACGACAAATAGTGAATGATCGCCAGTTAAAAGTTAGCAGTCCGGTCAATCGACATCTAAATAATGTACATTCTTTTCGCTGCATATTGCCTACCTGCAACTACGATATCTCTAATTGGGTCTTTGTAACTTGTACAACAAAAATCTGTACACTTTTCAGAAACGCACCTGAATAGGTTATGCTATTGATAGCCATAATGATGTATTAAAACAAACAAAATTAGATAAGCTGTTGAAATATCTAGATGGCATAAACAGGTAGCCCAGATATTCAAGCAGGCCGTCTGATAATTGTAATATCTATGCAATGTAATTTCATACATGAACATTATCATGGAATTCCAAAGCACAACATACTAGCTCTCTATCATCCATTAAACTGAACAAAGTTCAAGTCAAATTTATATAGAAAGTTCTAATTTTACTAATTTTAAACTAACGTTCACTGAGATAAGAAATAATAAATATTATTTTAAAAAATATACATTATAAAGCAATCATTCATTGATTGTTTAAACTTGTTTCGTTTGTTTCTTTTCCAACAACAAAAACTTACATGAATTCAATAAAAAAATTAATCAGGTACTTTGATGATATAATATAAACAAGCAATTGTGAATGATATTAATATTTTATCTGTTTATAAATAATCTCCGACTGAACTATTTATTAATCATTGTAAGCAAAGATGGATGGTGGCTAGCAGTGGAATCCAGAACGCGGGTTTCAACCTATTTGAGACTTGTCACTTGGACGTACCTGCATCTCAGAGTTGATGTTCACTATGGGACTCGAACGCAGTACCGTTCTCTTCAAACGCCATTGCGTTATCTACTCAGCTATTAAGTCCATCTTTGCTTATAATGCTTGTGAATTAAGGCTATATCGAGGCAATATGCACAATATACACATATGGCCAATAAGAGACTGACCAGTTGCAGTCCTAAACATTAATGGGAAGATTCAAACAAACAATACTAAATGTATTTATTAATTATAACAAGTAAATGAAGAAATTCATTTACAAACTAATCTATGACAAAGATCTTATATTAAGAATAATCAAAGAAAATGTATCATTTTCACTTCTCTTTGAAATAATTATTTTCATATACTTTATTCTTCCTAAACTATTCTTTAAACTTTCTTTTTGTAAAATAAAAATCCAACTTAATAAGGTTATATCATTGAAAAAAAAGATTAAAATCATGACAAAACTATTTTTTATTAATGTTTTACAAAACGGAACAGTTCTATAGGGCAAAAGAAAAAAGAATTTATTTGTAAAATAATAATGAATTATTAGTAATAATAATAATAATAATAATAAAATTAACAGAAGTAATTTTCACCTTAAACTTTCCTCCTTTATTCATATATGTGTGTGTCCTATAGCAGTAGAGAACATTCTATGATTAATAATAATAATAATAGCAATAATAATAATATTCTTTACTCTTAATCTAAGTAAACAGTAAATTGCCTTTAATTACTAAGAAAAGAAACATATTACTTAAATCCTTGAAATGAAGTAAATAGATGTTTTAAGTGTGAGTGTGCGTTTTTACTGGAAAAAAAAAGAAAAGCAATAACAAACTAGTTCATCATATCAGTTTTATCTTTTTTAACAAAAAAAAATAATAATAACAACAATAACACGAATAGAAAATTGACTAATGAACTAGAAATAGAAATGAATTTTATTTTTTTATTTTTTTTAATATGAGTACGTCTCTTTGATGAAATGAACAAATCAAAATAATAAGTAGGAAAGATAAAGAAAAATAAACTTTTCTTCTGTTTTTTTTTCATCTTGATACATTTTTTTTATTTTTCATCCGTTCTTTTTGTTGCTTTGGATTGGCCTAATGATGTTATAAATTATTGTTTGATTATTTGTCTTTTTTTTGAAATCAATTTTGATAAGTCAACTTTATCCAAAATTACTGATGAAAGACAATATAGAAATAATAGTTATTTCTTAATAAATTATATTTGACCGCTAATGTATATTTAATTGCATAAATTCATAGTATATTTGACATTTTATTGCTATACATTTTATAAATACTATTATCAACTCCTATTTCATTTAAATCAACATAAATTATTAGTCTACACATAAACGAATGCCTGAAAGATGAAGTAGAAACCATAAAGTTTAGATTTTGAAGTTGACATTTTTCTCAATAAGAATTAAGATTATTTTACTATACAGCAAATGTTGAACATTACCTAAGTAGTAAACTATTTTTTAAAAATAAAAGTACATGAATATCTTGGATTCGAGTGATTTCTTTTATAAGTTTTTCAGTTTCTTTCTCACTTAAAGAATTTTCTACATGGTTAATTCTATAGGGTTTATTATTTTTGTTCATTATTCAACGACTAAATAGGCAAAATATTCAACATGCTATTTCTTCTTACCTCAAATAATCTAAAGTAGAAATTATGGAAGACGATCATTGAAGGTGTTTTGAAATACCATTATTACCAGGCAATATATGAATGTTTTATTATTGGAAAAAATATCAAAACTAATTTTATACATCATTATAATAAAGTGTAGACGCTTTTACGCTTATATGAATCTTACAGACTTCGATCTTAGTGTTTTATAATTTTTTTTCATTGATTAAAATCGCATTAGTTCAGTGTAGCGTTATTTACAATCCCGCGCACGTTTGATAGGCGATATAGACAAGTTTCGGCATTGTCTTATTACATTGACAACTTACTTACGCCTGTTACCCCTCGTAGAGGAGCACAGGCCTCCCACAAGCACTCTTCGTTGAACTCTGTCTTAGGCAATCCTTTCCAGTTGTTTCCAGTTGCTATTCATCCTTTTCATATCCTCTTCGGATTCTCGGCGCAATGTGTTCATTGTCCTTGCTCTTTTCCGTTTCCCTTCGGGATTCCAAGTTAGAGCTTGCCTCGTGATACAATTTGATGATTTTCTCAACGTATGTCCTACCCACCTCCAGAATCCTTTCCTAATTTTTTCTTCCGTTGGAAGCTCGTTTGTTCTCTCTCACAGCAGGCTGTTGTTGATGGTATCCGGTCAATGGACATTGAGTATCTTACGTAGACATATGTTTATAAATATTTACACTGTTTTGATGATCAAATTATCAAAATTTATGACAGATATAACGTCACTATTGTTTCCCACAAAACTATACTTGATCATTTTGACAAATATCTACCCAATAATCGTTATGTTTTTTTATTTATTTAAAGCAAGTTATCAATTATAATTGTCGTGCCTTAGTTGCAGCTGTTCCATTTTTTACGTATGCTGATCAAGATTTTGTCTCAGAGGTTGTTACAAAATTAAAATTTGAAGTATTTCAACCTGGTGATTTAATAATTAAAGAAGGAACAATAGGTAATAAAATGTATTTTATCCAAGAAGGTATTGTTGATATTATAACCAAAGATGGTGAAGTTGCAACAAGTCTTTCAGATGGATCATATTTTGGAGGTAAACTCTTTGTTTTACTTGAATTTTTATTACAAGAATGTTTGTTTTAGTCTGCCCAAAAATGAAATATTAAGTTATGTGAATAAAATGATAACTGCTATATAGAAGCCATCCTCAGGTGGTACACATATGCCAATAAAATATTAGTAAAAATTCAGAGAAATATACGTTAAGGGACAATCGGTAAACTATTAAAAAGTGAATTAGAATTCAAAACCACTGCATGAGTAAGCGGCTACCTGGACTTAGTAGATCAGTGGATAACGAGTTAAATGTTAGGAGGAATGGGTACCGTATTCGATTCTTGGCGTGTACTTCAAATTTGAGATGCAGTTACATCGAGCTGACGGACATTTTGGATTTCAGTAATAACTATAATTCATCTATTCTATTAAAATATATGTTTTTTAAATAAAATTTTCATACTTTACCATTATCATTCCTTAAATGTTCAACTAATTAGTGAGCATTACTTTTCCTTATACAAATAATTAAGTTTTCTAGTAGTCATCGGATGCACATTCCTCCAATCTTCACTCACTCCTATATTTTCCTTATCAAGAAATTGTCGCATATGGTTCAACTGCTTAGATTTTTTATCAGTTATTTGACTAAGAATTTATACTCATTTTTAATGGTAGGAATGTTGGATGTTTCATTTCTCTTCATCTCAAAACTCAATCACAACATATATTTGAATATATTTATTAGTTTAAGTCTTCGTATTTGTTTAATTTTTCAAATAGACTAAAAAGGGGAAACTGTAATTTTGAAAAACAATTAGAGTTTATAAATCAAGTAAAAAAGACATTCGAAAGAGTACTTTTCTTGAGAAGTCTCATTACGGTTGATCTAAATGTATATTTTTAATATTAACTACCAGACTGTATTTGGATTATTCATGTCATTATCTATTAGACAACGTTTAACAAGGGCAAAATATTCTTAACGTATACAAAACGATATGACAAATCAGAGAAAAATTAATTTTCAGCCACTGCAAATTAAAGGATTGTTCACATACCTCAACCTAACTAGAATGATTGATGTTTATGAAGCATGATTGTAAAAAAACACATCGAATAATTTTCACCATGTATATGGGACTATCGAAAAATGATCGTTTGTATAAGATAAATAAATAAGTTGTCCAAGTTTGAATTAACTCTTTTGTTTAGATTTCTATGAATATCTGAAGAGTTGGTCTTTAACTTTCCAGAACAAATATTTCTCATTACAATATTCTACAACAGTTAATCATCTGGATGGAACTAATTAATCTTCATAAATCTGATCAATCGCAGGCAGGGTAGACAGATCGAGAACTGATGAGACTAATCATCACTAATCGTTGCTTTTAGTAATGTAACATAATAACGAACGTTACATTTGCCTCTGTAATGGTCACATTTTACAATTTCTAAATTTAAAGGAATGATTGTATGTAAAATTAAATTAAAAATGGATTTCAATCCATATATATTGGCTACTTGAATCTAACCATTGAAATTTCGGACTTCAGGTGACCAGCCTCTTTTTGGTATATGTGTATTTTATGCGAATTGCTGATTACCGATAGCTAAATGGATAATGATATGGCGTTTGAAACGAAAGATACTGAGCTCAAACCCCTGGAAGAACATCAACTCTGAGGTGCAGGCATATCCAGACGACGAGTCACAAATAGGATGAAACACGCGTCCTGGATTCCACTATCAGAAACCATCCATCTCTGTTTAAAAACTAACATCACCTAGAGTTTTGTAACACATGTTTTTTCTGTGACTCACCTTATAAAATAATGGTATATCTGTACTTTCCTCACCTACTTCGTTTGATTGTTCAGGTATTGACTCGTTTCTTGCTTCTTTTAAAACAGTAGATATATAATTTATATATGTTATATTTGATTATTTTTCTGTATATTTACTTTAGAAATCACATTATTAACTAATACACGCCGTACAGCTAGTGTTAAAGCTGTAGTTTATTCCAATTTGTACTCATTGGATCGAGAAAGTTTTCTATCAGTATTAGAAAATTATCCATTAATGCGACGTACTATGGAATCAGTAGCAGCTGAAAGATTAAATAAAATTGGTCAAAATCCATCAATTGTTAGTAATCGTGAAGATTTAAAAGAAGATTTAAGTTTAGTTAAAGAAATTGTTAGTTCAGCTGTTACACCAGAAGATAGTTCTAGTGGACCTGATACAGAAAATGAAGAAAATCAAGCTCATTTAAATTTAAAACAATTATTAAAATTTCGTAAACGTAAACCATCTAATCGTAATAAATTATTTGATAATACTGTAACAAAATTAAGTCAAACAAATGAAGAAGATGAAACATTACATGATATTGAACGTAAATCATCATTTGTTGAAATTACATCTGTAGATAAATTGAAATTACCTAAATTTATGCGACAAAAACGTAGTTCATCAAATGTTTTTACGAATTTAACACAAAATTTACCAAATTTATCAAAATCTAAAATGATATCAGACAATTCTAGTGAACGTGAAATTAATAAATGTAGAAAATCAGATTTACAATCATCAGAAAATGATACAAATCCATGTCATAATTCAAATACAAATGTGACAAATTTACAGTCTAGTAATTTAAATCCTAACTGTACGATTATCACTATAACTAATTATAATACTGATGATACTGCTACTAATAATAATAAAACTATCAACAGTAATACAGATACTAATCAAAGACCATCTTCAAGTGATATTTCAGATGTAGATTCCTGTAAACACTAACATCTTTAATCACTCAACTTGTGCATAATAACAGATTGATTATACACACATGTGTTTCACATCATACTACATCTTCATATTTCATTTTATAGATCCATTCAATTCATTTCACTTCATAAGATTTAGTAAATAAAAATGAATATTAATTTAATTTATAATTATTGTAATCATAAAGAAATGTTGTTACTTCATCAGTTACCTCTTATACATAATGAATGTACATATCTACATAGATATATGAATATATATATATATATATATACATTGAAGAATCTACATACATTTATTTTATCACTATTTTTCTGAATAGACTTCAATGAAACAATTTTATTAGCAAACATAAAAAACAATTGAAGAAAATATTCATGAAAATCAATCATTGTATACTTCTCCTTTTTTTTCTTATTTCCTAGTTACTAATCAACCAATGTAATTGATAAAATAAATAAAAAAATAATTAGTTCATTTATTACATAATACTATTATTAAACAATAGTATGATTAATATATATCTAGACTATAGATTCAGATTAATTTATTTGTAAGCATGAAATATGCGTTTAATTACATAAATGTATATTTTTTTCTCTCTATATTTTCCATACTACTTATTTGAAAATAGCATTTATGGATTAATTTTCGTTTATTTTTTTTATTTTTAGAAGTCCTAGTGTAATAGATTGATTAACATTTAATTGAATTTATGAAAAAAATTTGAAAAAAATTAAATTAACTACTGAATTTTATCTAGTCACTTCTATAACTATTCTGTTCACCTCAAAATATTTGGAAATGTTCGTATGTTGATAATGATTATTTTTTTTGCAATGGAGCATAGTTTTATGTTGTGTTACTGATGTAATTTTTTGTTCTTTTCTACACTGTAATAATTTAAAGTAAATACATAAAGATGAGAATCAAAGTAATAATGACGTATTGTGTTGAACATTAGGGATAATTGTGTAGATACCTATTTAGAATGGGTTTCCGTTTATCTGAACAAAATCTATTTATTTTTCAATCTTTTCTTTAAAATGTCGAGTTTATTTCTTGTACAGGAAGATTTCTCTCAATTTTAAATGTTTGATTTTTTTTCAATAATATTCAGGATATTGTTCTACTTCAAGTATACAATCTGTTAAAGTGTCAAGTACTTATTACCGAGACCACTCCAATAATGACTCAACATCTTTAATGTTCAGTCTATTTCATTAAAAACACCATTTATTATAAAGAAAAATAGTTTTCTCCTGGCTTTTAATGAAATAGTCTCTAAAAACACCTTTCAATTTAACTGCATTATATGTGGTTTATTACAGCAGTGTGTATTTTCAACTTGTTGGATAATTGATAACAAACCTATTAGTACAATTGTGTAAACATGAAAATAATTCTTAAATAAAATTGACAAACTTTGTATTTCGATAAAAACAATACATAATATTAATGAGTTAGATATTCATATAACCAGTATTAGTTGAAATTGATTTCCATCAACTTCATTTCCTTGTCTTATTAACGATTGTACACAGATGATGTAGGAGCTAGGTACAGTCATGTTAAATGTTGTTAACGACCTTATGAAGCATCTAGTGATAGACTGGTCTCCGATCACATTAAGGTTTCTGATTGAAAAGTAGTTTGGTTTTCAAACTTAAAAACATCATGAATCTTAAAAAAAACTGTATTTGGCATAAAACAAATGATATATACATTAAATTCATGTGACATTTTAGACACCAATTTCTAATTCACTATATCCTTGTGCTTATTAGCCACATATTGGTGAGAAAATCATAAGATCTCTAAAGAGACTGTTTAATTTAAATATAAACATTTTTGTAAGGAACTCCATTTTCATAGTTGAAATCATGAGTCAATTGAAGTTAAACCACCATTGAAAACCTGGAAGAACTGAACGGCAGTTTCGTCCTATTGTGGGACTTCTCAACAGTACGCATCCACGATCCCGCCTCGCGAGATTCGAACCCAGGACCTATCAGTCTCCTGATAGGTCCATTTTCATTATTGTAGCTACTTTGTTAAAAAATAGTTAATATTTCTACAGAATAACATTATACAAAACAAAGAAGTAACCAATAAACAAAGCATACCATTTAGTGAGATATAATAATACTAAATAATTATCTGGAAAGAATTAAGATATAAGAACTAAATCCTATAATTAAAACCTAAAACCTAGAGGTATTCATTTTCAGTATTTTCTATTCTACAAACTAATCTCCTTTAAATTACTATAAATTGAAATTAATAATAACATTACAGACTGTTATTACTTTAAGCAAAATTCTTATACTGATGATATAATGTAAATAAATTGATGAGATAATTGATTTAATGTCATAAGGATTGGAAATTCAGAATTTTTCTGTTGTCAACTAATCATTATCGTATCATGAAAATTAGGTTTTCATTTAAGAATTAGAAATGTTTTTATTTCCAACTTTCGAAAAGCTTAAAACAGTTTGTAAATGAATTAAACATTTAAATAAATGAAGTAAAAAGTACTTTGCTATTTAAAACGAAGTACTTATTAACTGTTCTTACCAATACTTAATAAATAAGCATATGCACAAAGAATAACTTATTTTTCTATTTATTATATAAATAAAACAATAAGGAAACTTATTAGATACTTATGTGAAATAAATACATCAATTAAAAAAATTGCATTGATATATTTCTGTTATGTGGTAGCGAAGACATAAGTACGGGTAACTTGCAGGACCTATTGGACTATCATTCTTATTGTATAACTATTCGGTAACTAGATTATCTAATCTTTATTTTGACCTATTGATTATTACTATATGATTTACTGTCCCTATGTTATGCTCAGTTTTACTGATTATTGTCTCCCACGCTTACAGCCTCATTTGGCCTGGTTTTGTACAAATATTTTATATTTTATGGTGTGGTCTGCCTGTCTGATATATAAACAAAGTATGCTTGAAATAAACGATTCGTATTGCCGAGGCTGCTATTGGTGTTTTTGGACTCAAGTGGACGGGTTAGGCGGATAAGGGCCAATAAGGACGCTAGATTACTCATACTAATCGAACGTCATTGTCACAGTGTGAAGGTCGTAGAAGGCGTATTCTATTGGTGGATAATTTACGCGAATTACGTTCTTGTTAAATTCGTAAGGTCATAACGAATCAGCGACGACCTTGATCAAGTCATAACAATTGGCTACCGCCTAGGTCAAAAACATAACAAATTGGCGACAGCTAGGTCAAGTCATAACAATTTCCTTATGGATTTTTGTGACCCGGTATCTGACTTCAATTGCATCGTATGAATGTTACTGAAATATACATATTGTCAATCCTCGTATATAATTATCGACTTAGATTGAGTTAATGAATAACGGAAATAAAAAGTAAAATACGAAAATGCATGTTTGAATACGTATATTTTGTGCAATCATTGATCTGAACAGACAATCAGAGGGACGAAGCGTAAAAAAAAGAGCAAAGCAAAACTACGCGTAGTGGAGAAGGCACGTGAAACAACTCCATTTAAACAAGCGTTAATCAGTATTTATAGTCAGGAAAAAAAGGTTACAGACATGTGATGATTAGGATAAGAAGTGTACACTCATACGCTCATATAAAAACAGTCAAGGTTTATGAGCGAATGATTAACAAGGTCAAAACGTGGCTCAAGAAGAATGGATGCATTAAATGTCCAGAAGCTAGGATACGTTATGTGGGCTTAACATAACAGGCTATCAGTGGAACTTAGTAGACGCGTTTCATCCCCTTCGGAGCACGTCGATTGGAATTGGATGCATCTCATTATTGATTTTTACTCTAAGAAATAAACTCATCACCTTTCTCTTCAAACGCTTAATCCGTTATCCACTGAGCTACGGAGTTCAGGTAGCCACTTATTTGTTCTACCGGAATGAAGGTATTGGTAAAAGTGTGTGATTTTCAAGTGCTGACGTTTGAAGTAATAGATGCTGACCGATAGTCCCACTTTGAACATTGTCACTAGGATACAGGTTTGTCTCGATGAACAGTCTAAATTAGGACGAAATCTCGTCCTGAACTCTAGTATTAGTTAGATACCAATTACACAAAAACGTATGACATTGAGGTAGTCAGATAAAGAATCAAAAACGCTAACACAGACTGACCAATTTCAGTCCTGAATATTGAGAGGTGGAATACAGAAGTTATTACTAATAAAATACTGCAGTCTAAACTTTATGAATGATGAATATATTGTTCAAATTTGCCAAGAATATTACATATTACATTAAAAATTTGGGTAAACGAAACCTAATCCAATTTCTATCATTATCTATATAAATATCTAGTGAAATCAGAAAGCGTGTGAACCATCATGGCTTGAAATCATTTACAGGCTGTATGGGTTTGTTTTTTAGAAACAATATTACGTACAATAATCGTAAAAAAACAAAATTTTTTTACGAAATTCCATAATTATGTTCCGTAAACGTTTGTCAAATGGATATTCTTGTTCAAGTTTTTACAATCCCTTACTTCATACGTATTCGTAAGTTAAATATCTAGTGGAGTTATGAATCTTTTATGTCTATCATTCTTTATCACAACAACCATTGCTAAATTTGTGGAGAAAAATTCGACCATTGACTACATAATATGTGCATCTTGTGCATTTTGGGGTAGAATATAATGAGAAATGAACAAATTATCACATACCAATCATTAAGCAACATTTTGTTGATTGAATTCTTCACATACCTGTTCAAGCTTTTACACAGATGTGCTCATAACTAAAACTGTTGTATAATTCAGGTTTAGAAAATGTTAATACACTCGACTTCTATTGAACAGTTATGAACAGTATGCATATAATTAATGAATAGGTCCTGCCTTTTACATCTCACTGTTCAATTGATGATAATATATGCTAACTGCAGTTTTCCGATCAGTAAATCTTCTCAGAAACCAGTAGATTTCCAACAATGTTAAACCTTTTTAAAATGAAATCAACCTACTAACCATTATAAATTCTACTATTAACGACAAATTCTGTAGTATGCGAATTTCTGGAAGTAGTGCTTATAAGCATAAATAGTTTTTTATAACACTATTAAATTCAAATATTTTTCGCGCTTGCGTTAGTTAGACAATAATTAAAATGGTTAATTGCTCGATTTCATACTATTTTAGAGCTACAGTAGTATATAAATACTAGATATAAAAAAATAAAATTTGAGATTAAAAGTTAAACCAGCTGTTTGGGAATAGTGTATCCGACATTCTGAAATAAGTAGTATACCCAATCTGTTTCCATGCAATGTTGAATCCTGCTGCTATTTTAATGACAACTTTTTCATTAGCATGACTGAGTGGATATCATTAAGCGATTGACCTCGATATATTCTGCGTCACTGATTTATTTGAAGCTTTTGTAAATAAATGTTTGTTTACATTCAACAACAAGTAATAGATCTCGCGGAGAATCGCGAAAAAATTCATCGAAAATCTTTTTATTTATATTACAGCCCGTCTAACTTGACGAAATCGAATAACAACATATATTTCCATTAATTAAACGATCGATTAATTTCCGGACTTTTATTATTAACGAGTCCACTGGTTTTCTTCGAAACAGAAGTATAACAAAGTTCTGTTTCTTCGTTGAAATACCTTGACCACTAGTTTTAAATGTCCATTCCGCTAACCATTCGACAACCTGTTTGCATACAACTAACTTTTCTATGTACATTTGAGAACTTGTCCAACAATCTTTCAGAACAGATTTCTGATTATATATTAAACTGGAAATTAGAATGTCACTAAGCATAAGAAACACACTGAGAAATTGTCAACAAATAATAAAAAATAATAACTTATATTTTTTTAGTTCATTCTCATTGACCTCAATAAGCATAATGAATTTTTTCTTCTCTAACCATAATTCCATATAATTTCTAAAGTTTGTTTTCCAGTGAAAACAAAAAAATATATATTCGCTAATCTTGTGAGATACTGTTGAAGAGGTCTAAAAAACTTATTATTATATTAATAACTGCAAGGACAAGGTCATGTTTTTACCAAAACGTTATATATATATTTATTTAGTGAAACTACTCATGTGATAGTTTATTCTAACGGAAAATAAATGTTTGCTAATGACTTAATCTTAATTCGAAACCAAAAATATACTTTCTAAGTCTTTCTTTGCACAATGCAAACAAAAACTATCCATGGGAATCTGTAAGCCAAAAGGTGGCTCAATGAATTTATCCTTTTTTTACCATCTCAAATACATACCTGTTTAATCGCAACTATATTATATTACTGTAACGAAAATGCATATTAATTTTGTTAATGATAATATCTAATATAGTAACAGAAACTAACGAAATAAGTGGTCGTAGAAAAAATCCGTTGTTCATAATCCAAGAGTGAGAACGAAATTTTCATAGTTGAAAGCGTGAGTCAATTGAAGCTAGACAACCAGGGAGAACCTGGAAGCACTAAACCGCCGTTTCGCCCTATTGTGGAACTCTTCAGCAGTGCACATCCACGACCTCGCCTCGCGAGATTCGAACCCAGGACCTACCAGTTTCGCGCCAGAGCACTTAACCGATAGACCACTGAGACGGCATCCGATGGTGTTTATGTCTAACTTCAACCAATCCACGGAGTTGTGCAACCGTTCACCAATTACCTTCAGTGAGTTCCTATCTCACAACAGATCTGGTTAAACTCCACTGGTCATTGCTTCTCACTAGAACTCCGAGATTTACCTCTCGAAGTCAGTTAACAGTGAGCATATGATTATTATTATCAGAAAGGTTTTTTGGTTTATATCTAACCCCAACCACCGGATGCCGGCTCAGTGGTCTATC